TGTGTTGTGGTTGAATTCCATGTTCGTAGGCATCTGTAAATCTCTGCAGTTTCTCTTTCCAGAAGGTGGGGCTCCTTTGCTTCAGTTGCTTCCAACCATTGCCCCCCAGTAGGAAAGAAGTAAACTTCATCTTTAAAAAGGCATTAATATTTCCAGCTCCATCAGAGTTCCTTTAGCCCTAGAAACCAATAGATGCAAAGTCTTCATGGAATTTACCCAGAAATAGGCATTCTTAGAAGCAAATTATTGCCTAAATTAGATGCATTTTAGTTTGCTGACATTCCTAAGTCAGCTGGTGTTCAAAATGACCATTAAACCACAATTAGTTCTCCCTGAGTGTGCAGGTGATCCCTGAGCAGAGAACAGCCCCCAGAGAACACCCCTTCAAGAATCTTTTCCGGGTCTTCATTGGTGTATGATGTAATTCAACCAACTACAAAACAATAAAAAGAAACAGCATGGAACTGCTAACGTTTCAGAAAGGATTAAAAATTTTTACCTTCTCCTTATGGCATGCATTCTTCCCTAAAACCTTATGTGATTCATGAGCAACAAAAGGACAAAACAAAATGGTCTGAGCAGGGTTGCAGAACTAGCCCTGCATGTGCATGGCTCTGGTGAGAGATGGCAGAGTTAAACTCTTAAACTGTTGTGAAAGTTGCTTTTTTTGTTTTCACATCTGTTTGAGGAAAAGGGAGAAAGGGGAAAGAAGGGAAGGGAGAAGGAGGAAGGGGAAAAAGGGGAAAGAGAAGGGGAACGGGGGACAAAAAGGAAGGGGAAGGGAAGGAAAGGGGAAGGGAAGGGAAGGGGAAGCGGAGGGGAAACGGAGGGAAAGGGGAGGGGAAGGGGAGGGGAAGGGGAGGGGAGAGGCAAAGGGGAGAGGGGAGAGGGGAAAGGGGAGAGGGGAAAGGGGAGAGGGGAAAGAGGAAAGAAAAGTAAGCAAAAAGCTGTAAAACTTACCTCTTCTGTATTTGCAGGTCTAATTTTTTTGTGGAAGAGCTGTACGATTTTATCTCCTCAGGATCTGCATTCCCCAGTGGGGATGTAGGGCACAGGCTTTAGAAGAAAAGTCGAATGTAAAGCTTCCAACACTTGCTCTGTATAATCCTGTCCAATTCTGTCTAGCCTACGTGAGCCTATTCTCTGCCTATGTGAGAACTACTCTGCCTGGATAATGGGTGCACAGAGCGGTGTGTTCACAGCCCCACAGCAGAAAGCAGCTCTGAGAAGAAAACCATTTAAATACCTCTCTTCAACCCTCTCCAAGGAAATCTCTCACCTGAAGGGCTCTTGGGGCCAGAGGAGGGAGGAGGGAAAGGAGGGGGCAAAGGAGGCGTGAATTCTGTCCTGACTGAGAAGTTTGAGTAAATATATTTTAAAGATAAAGTCATCACTCAGCTGTATGGTTTTCCAAAGGGTAGGGGGGCATTAGATCCACTGCTTTGGCTTTCAAGCCAAATTTCTCTGAATGAAATCTAGCACTTCTAGAGATGTCTGTTGTAAGATGTGCTGTCCTCTCGGGGACATGAAGAGCTCTCTGTCAAAGAAACATCTGTATTTGGAAGAAAGTTATCTGGGTTGACACATCTTTCAATCAAGTAGGACCTCATCTGTCTTAACATCTGCAGTCACAGCTCTGCCTGTGAAACAAAACACGGTAGGACAAATGGATGCAATAGTTCAGGGTCAGGGCAACCAACCAACTCCAGGTCATCACTGCTCTGGAGAGTGCAGTTCTTCTCTTAGGGCCAGGTGTTGGGAAAATCAGCAGTGCATGGAAGTGGGCTGTTAACTCTTTAACCCCCAGTGCTTTACATGATGATATGATGTGGAATGCTGATAACAAAAATCATAAAACCATGACATTCCACCCCGTATTCCACATCACTACCTCCTGCTTAATATATATACAAATATACAAACAAACAGTAGCTAATATTCATTACACAAACACGTCTATATATATACATGGCATTACTGACTGCACTCCCCCAGCATCAAATTCCCTTGTGGTACACCCTGAACATCCCCATTTATCTCCATCACCCACCAAGTGCACCCAGGTCCCTGGGCAAAAACATTTCCACAGAGAGGTTTTCCCTTTCCAGAGGCTGGAAGGGTCCAAACCGCTTTTCCCAACATGCTTTTTGCATGTACCACAGGGACCTTGTCTCCCTCTACAGCATGTAGGGAGCTGGATTGGGTAGGACTGTGTTGGTTGCTTGATCCTTGAGTGTTGACCAACCAAGTGACTTCTGCCAGATACTTCTCCCAGTGCTTAAATGTTCTGCCACCCATTGCTTTCAACGTGGTTTTTAACAACCCGTTGTGGCATTGGATTTTACCAGAGGCTGGTGCATGATAGGGGATATGATAAATCCACTCAATGCCATGATCTTTGGCCCAAATATCCACAAGAGAGTTTTTGAAATGAGTCCCATTATCAGACTCAGTTCTTTCCGGGGTGCCATGTTGCCACAGGATTTGCCTCTCCAGACCCAATATGGTGTTTTGGGCGGTAGCATGGGGTACTGCATATGTTTCAAGCCACCCAGTGGTTGCCTCCAGCATGGTGAGCACATACCGCTTACCATTGCGAGATCGTGGCAAGGTGATAGAATCAACCTGCCTCAACTCCCTATATTTGTGCTTTTGCCATCGCCCTTCCCGCCAGAGAGGTTTCATCCTCTTGGCTTGCTTAATTGTGGCGCATGTGTCACAGTCATGAATAACCTGTGCAATAGCATCCATAGTTAAGTCCAGCGCTCGGTCTCCAGCCCACTTACGTGTTGCATCTCTTCCTTGATGGCCCAAGGTCTCATGGGCCCACCGAGCTAGAAATAATTCACCCTTGTCCTGCCAGTCCAGGTCTGTTTGAGCCACCTCAATCCTGGCAGCTCAATCTACCTGACGGCTATTTCATTGTTCTTCTGTAGCCCTTGGCAAATGATTGGGCTGTGTTTCCACCACTGGGGCAAATGACTTCACTGAATACCGAATGCCCTTCCAGGTGAAAGCAAACTGTGACCTACATTCTGTGCTCAAAGGAATGGAAAAGAAGGCATTAGCAATGTCAGTGGTGGCACAACACTTGGCTGCTTTAGACACCAGTTCATGCTTGACATCTTTTTTTATTTTTTTTTTAACCTAGCATTTTCAGAAGCAAAGCACGACTCTAAAGAAATGCAAAGTGTACAGAAACACGAAGGTCACTCTTTTCAAAGCTACTGTTGTGCAGTCCTTGAGCAAAGGAAGGAGAGCGATTCCCCGAGAAGATGAACAGCAATTCCTCGAGTAGATGATCAGAAGTTTGACGCATCCACCAACACTTACATCCTCCCACAAAACACCATTTCTTCCCAATTACAAAACCACAAAAGCATTTGTTGGCAGTGACATCATCATGGGAACCATCAATATTTGCATGTTTAGAATCATTTAACTCATATGCAATCTAACTAATTTATATCCACATTAAATAAAAGAAAAAACTTAGAAAGTAGTGAACGCAGCCATTCCCATATCTGTTCTAGAAGAGATCTTCTGCTCTGCTGCTCCTGGGAGCCACCTCAGGAGTGCACACCCTGTAGATAAGAAATAAACCTGCTTGGGACCCCTCAGCTGCTGATGCGTATCTGCACACATGCTGTGCTGCTCCATATCTCGGAATAAGATTCCTTCTTCCCCACATCCAGCCACAGACTCGTTCTCAGAGCGGCGAGCTCATCAGAGCGGCGAACCCGGTCCTCCATCCTCTGCAGTTCTTCTGCCACCCTCTCCCTCTCAGCCTCCCACTCCTGCTCAGCCTGCTCATATCCACGAATCCGATCCTCCATCTGCCGCAGTCTTTCCGCCTCCCTCTCCCTCTCAGCCTCCCTCTCCTGCTCAGCCTTCTTGTTCTGGGCTTGCAGATCTGTGGGAGAAGTAGAGTTTACTGCACATGAGGAGCGGGCCCCCAGCACCTTGGCAGTGCTGTCCCTGCCCCAGCCCCCAGCTCTCCCAGAGGTGCTAGCATTTCTCCAATACAGACGTTACGTTTGATCCACTCATCCTTCTCCATCAGGGCACGGTCTGTGCTGCAGATGCTCCTGGCGAAAGGCTCCACATTCCGAAGGAACTCCTGCAGCACAGCATCTGCCTGTGGGGCAACGGGAGTGTGGCAGTCAGGGGGGGAGGTGGTGATGCTGGGCAGGGGCTGCTCCTCTTCCCACCTTCACCCCTTTGCCCGGCAATGCCCGGTACTGCTCCACCAGCGCCTGCTGGTCCCCAAGGAACAGCCAGTGATCCCCCGGCACGAAGTAGACACCGTCACCGATGCGTTGCTCCATCTCACTGCGGAGCTCCTGCAGTGCAGCCGTGCACTTCTCATGGGACGCCTCTTCATTGCGGCTGCAGAACTGCAGCCTGGCTGCCTCCACCTGCAGCTGCGTGGGGGGACGCGAGGGGCAGGAATCAGCCGGGGAAACGGGGGCAGGAAGGAGCGGCACAACACAGCGCCGATGGGGGATGCAGAGCCAAGCACGGTGCCGCGGAGCAGCGCTGGCCAAACCGCGCAGCGCCCACCAGAAGCTCCGCACGGAAGCGCTCGACGTCGGCCGTGATCACCCGTTCTGCAAAGAGCTGCAGTGTCTCCCTCTGGCACTGCTCGTGCCATGGGCAGCTCTGCCTGCTGCTCCATCAGCTCCTGGTACAGAACCGCAGCTTCCCGCACCGCCGCTGAGTTGTGCAGCTCCGCCAGGGCCGTCACCACGCTCTCCAGGCACGGCACGGCCCCGCTCTGGATGGCATCCACGTAGGTCACAGCCAGAGTTCCCAGCACTGCCATGGGGGGAGGGGATGAGAGGTCTCTCTGTTTTGGCCCTGGGTGCAGCCATAGCCCTGCTGCCCCTCCCAGCATCCCCAAGTGCTTCTCCTGCTCCTTCCCTCCCAACCTAGCCCAACGCACAGGAGCCCCAAACAGAGGCAGAAAAGCTCCTGCAC